AACAACGATGCTGTACCCTGACGCTTGGCCTCGGCCATCAGTCGAGCACAAATCTCCTCGTTTTGTTTCTTTGAGCAATTTCTTTTGTCTTCATCTTTTTTGAGCATCACCTCCAACTGGTTTAATAATAACTCTCTAGCTTCTTGCATTCCAATCATCGCAAGGACTCAATGTCGCATCTATTCACGCGTACTACCGTGAATCAAAAACCTCTCCTCCTCCTCCGTCGTCGTCGTCGTCGATGATGATGATGATGATGATCAGCCGACGTCGGCTTAATTGGCGTAAATAATTTCGCTGAGCGCCTATAGACACGCGTCTGACATGAATGATTGCTTTTGCGAAACCTATTTTATTCCATTCGAAACCACCGACCGCATCTCGTCTCGTTCGTCATTCTGCTCTTTTGAGTTATTTTCGTCGCACGTCTCACCAAATGGTGGTTCAGGATATATTTGAACGATTACAGTCGTACACAATGGCTCGGAAGGACACACGAGCGAAATTGGCCAGAAGTAAGAGTGCAGCACGACCTCGCGCACCAAATGCAGCTGGACGAGACATGACACGACGGCCGTACGAGATCACCACTATCGTGCTCGGAGCTACTAAGGTAAGTACTGAGGCAAAAAAGGTTATGGTACATGACCAACCAGCAGCACGATAGTCCAGTTCCATTTTGATGTACGGGGCACGGCGTGCGTTGGGGATTCCCTCGTTGGGAAGGGGAACCGTGTTTGGTCGCCGGAGGGGGATCAGGTCGTACCTTGCCTTTGTGAAAAATGCTTCCTTTTGTTGACTCTTTTCGGTTTTTCCCATTTGACGTACGCTGTACGCGTTATACTTCCACCCCTGCCTGCTCGACGAGAGGGTTTCTGGGGGAAAAAGGTAAAAAAGTGGGACAAAAGTCCGGGAAAGTGGAGGACTCGGGAGAGGGCTTAGAGAGGTAGGTGTAGGATGGGGTGGGGAAGGGAAGGAGGTTCAGGGGGAGTGTAGCAGAGTAGGATTCTTGGGGCTAAGTGGTATTCTGGACAAGATTCCCCAACCCTTTTCAGTGCACCGCTGCTGACTCATCGGAACTGGAGGGACTTAGGTAGTGGTTACAGGTAAGTCGCAGATATTGCCATAGCAGCGGGTATTTGCTCTGTTTTCATTACTGTACTCTGATTTAGTTAATGATTCAGGTAAGGTAGTCACGATGGTGTCAACAGTTCTGAGCCGATTCTTGACCGATTACCGGCCGACTGTTGAAGAGTTCAATTGGATAGAATATGATGTCGAAGAGGGTAGTGCATTGATGTTACAGGTAAATAGCACTACAAACGAAAACATGTAAAAATGCAGCCACAGCATGGCACATGCAGTTATGGAGAGGCGGCATAAAATAACAAAATGATTAGCTGAATACTAGTGTGCCCGAAAATTTTCTGTCAGTTTTGGCACGACATGTTCAAACGGCGCTTTTGAAAACGTGGGGGTGGCATTTCGTACTAAAATATCGTTTGCTTCCATAGTTGCGGTTTACAAGTCTCACTCTGGCAAACCTGTGAACTCTTGTGAAGCTGGAGCAAGGTCGTCAAGCCATCATGTTAAAACCTGTCAACTCGAGAAGAGGCTGTCTAGATAGGTCGACACGTCGATGGGAAGTAGCGAAAGTGCAAAATGCCCCCCGTCGTCAAACTGCACCTACAGACTATTCAGAACACTATGGTCAGTTTGATCTTCTCGGGACCATTTTCATGAATAAGTCGCTAGATATCCAGTTCATGCGCCGTAATTCAAGGAATTCTAGAATACTTTACTCGTGGCTTAGTGTTAATGAGCACAGGGGAGCAGCTATCTCGACTTGGGTAATTAAATGTTTGTTCGGAGTCTGGAAACGCAACAACATTGAATACTGGGCATGAACGTAAAAGCACGTCTGAAGGCAACCGTAAGGAACACAATAATGAAAAGCACATTAGAAACATCTGTAAAAAACTCATCAAGAAGAACTTCAAAAGAGACCGTAAATGACGTGAGTTACAAGGCATTTTTTTGCATAAATATTAAAAGAGCTGCAGAAGTTTCCGCTCCTTGGCAAGGAGCGAGTCATTAATATGCTCAAAATTTGCTTCACGTCTGCACCACGTCACAGACTTAATGGTATCATAACCGCAAATCAATTGTAACCTGAATATGTCTGTTCCAAGCAGCTACATGGAAAAACATCTAAATCCTTACAGATCATTGACTCAAGCGGATCACACGATTTCCTTGCTATGCGCCATTTCTACATTAGGACTGGTGATGCATTTTTGGTGAGTTTCTGGTGACCGCTAGTGTTTTAAGCTTTTTCCTTCTTCCTTCCAACATTTGCAGTTCTGTTTCTCATGAAGGTAAAAGGCGTAGTCACGATGAGACGAGAGAAGTAATCCCATCCGTGTATAAAATATGCAAATCCACAGCAGTAATGCTTGACTGTACCACTTCTTCGACTCGAGCGCATGAGACGAGGACATCAAGGGCTTCCAAGTAAAGGCTTTCCAGATCCTTCTAGGACTGAAGGATTCGAAAATAGCCCAGCTCATGAAGGCATCTCTCGTTAGAACGCATAATTCTCCTTTACTCTTGACGAAGCAGCGCTTGAAGGTCCTGTGAGAACTGGGGTCTTCTTTAGGTCTCGACTATTCTTTTGTTTTTCTCCACTGGCGAGCGTAGATCAAAATTTGAACTGGTTCCATTTTTTTCGAGCCCCACTTGTTTCAAGCACACTATTCAGGCTTTTAATATATCTCTAGTGCAAGCATTAATTGATGGAAGCAAAGGTGTGTCCGTCCAAGGGACGCGAGCGTCTGTTGGGAGTTCCCTAGGCGGCGAGGGGCCGCGTTCAGCCCATGGAAGAAGAAAGGGATCGTGTTGGTGTTGATGTATTTTTCGATTTTTTGTTGGTGGGAGGCAGTCTTTGTATTGTCGGGGAGGCTAATCTCGCCAGTGCCGTTGTCGTACTGGTTACCAGGCACCGAGGGGAAAATGTTTAGCGCAACCAATTACAGTGTACTGTAGCACGGATTTGCCGCGTATTTATCAGTGCAAACTCAACTTGGCCCTAAATAACAGTCTCAGGGTGTAATGGTAAAGCTTCCTTCATAGTTTTTTTGAGAAGCGGCGATACTGCGCAGAGTATTTTTGATCTTGTCGTAATCAGTCGGAGCGTTGTCAGAAGGGGCGGAATGAGCCCGACTCCGGCTTCTTTTCCTACCATTAATGATCGGCCAGTCAGTGATTAGCAAGAAGATATCCAGTCGTGGAGGCGCCGCGGGTGAGCTGATTTAGCGCCCATCTCGCCCCGACTGATCACGACGATATCAACCACGCTGGGTACGTGTGGATTAATTTAACTCCGCCCAACCGAGGACTCTACACTCTTTATCCCTGAGACGGAGTAGGCGTGGCATCTGAACATGGCATAGAATGGGTTACTCGTGAGATATTTCAGTTTGAGACAACTCTCATCTTGTTCTTTGTTGGACAGAGACATGACCACAATTCGTGTCAAAATGAAAATATCTCACCAAAAGCACAGCCGCTGCCACTTTAGTTGAAGTCCGCAGCCACGCCTACCGCATCTCAGGTATTTCGAGTGTACAAATAGCGCTGGGTATCGATTGAAAGATTTTCTTTTCTTTGTTCTAGGGACCCCAACATGAGTGCATTGTTGTTGGTGATGATCTCAGATCCCCTCTCCAAGACAACTCCTTCGCCGGCTAGGCTGCAAGCTCAGTCGGATCAGCTTTCGGCCAATCCCACAAACCCTTCAGGGATGATCACTGGTGTCACACTCGCCCCGGAGAAGGGACCAATG